GGCTTCTGTGTCTCAGCAGTCCCTGAGTTTTTGTACTGATCTCCAGACCTGGATGGAGAATTGTGACCAGCTCATGGGCACAGTCATGTTTGGCATGTGGGTCCAGGCACCCTGCTCGGCAGAGGCCAGCGGGTTTCACATCATCTGAGAGTTACTTTGATAAGAGTTGGCCTCCCCCCACCTTCAAGACTCATTTCCAACAGTATCTGTAATGTTTGTTAGGATAATAGGGATTTGCTTTTATTAGTATTTCAATACTAATAAGTCATGAAATGATTTTCCTATAAAAGTTTTCACTAAACCCCTCATAATTACTTATTTACTCAATAGACGGCATATGGCAAAAAATGGTTGACCTTTTCTTTTTCATACAGCTGTAACAACCAAGAATTAACTAGATATTCATCAAAGCATCAGTATAATGAGGAATCACCTTCATCTTGCCAAGAGAGGAACAAGAATAAGTAGTATTGTCCCATACTACAAAAAGTCTTGTTCGTGGCAGGCCCAAGATTTTAGATAATTTGCCTTTTTTCCTGCCCTCACTGAAGGACTTTATTTAATTAATCTCTTAACAAGATTAACCTAGCCTTTCTTGGAAGGCTGCAGCTTAGACTCCCTTAACTTCCCTAGAAATTAGAGTTATACGTAAGGATTGAAGTATTTTTTTGTTCTTTAGTAAAGCTTTCAGATTAATTGGTAATTAGCCAGAAGAATGAAATATTGATTTATCTACTATAAAAGAGCAAAGTAAATAGCTTGTACTCATTTGCTGAAGAATCTATCTACCCCTTTTAGGGCATTAAGGCAACCGCAACCAGCACAGATTGCGAACAGCAGTTTGCTAACCAGTTACACAGAAAAGCTTTTCCCACATTATTCTCATTTTGCTGATAGGAAGGGAAGGTCTAGAGCCCTGCTCAAGATCACTCAACACCCCTACAACCAAGATGGGCAGAGAAACCATAGACTTTGTGTCCAACCCTCAGCCTACCAGTGGGATCACCTTCATGAGTGATACAGGAGAGATTTTGCTATGTTGCAGGAAGTACTGCAACACAAGCTATTGGCCAGAATGGCAAAGCATTGCTTTTCCCTTACACAGTGTTTGAGATAAAGCCTTCCTGCTCAGCCTACCTATTTCTACTCAGGCTTTTACAAGCCATCTGCATTGATGATGATATAAGTAAATGAAATGGGATCAGTAACATAAAAATTTCTATTCTCAGGTAAAACTTTAGGATGGTTTTTATGATGTGCTGTCTATATGCAATAAGACGATATAGCTGGGGAATCAAAAAAAAAAAAAAGCCCATCTGCTCTGCAAGATGTTGGGACAGGTAAAACTCACTTTAGAGACATATAATCATGTTGCTGAGGTGTGCAAGTTTTTCCACAAATACCACTGCCCTCTTACGGGCATACACCTAACAATTCCTTAGGGTTCTGGTGTGTTCTTTCTTGCTTTTGACACTCTATACAATTTATTTTGGATTATTAGCCCCATTCATTCAGTCCAATTGCATTACTGTCAGAAGAGACAGGATAAACCAGTAAGTTAGGGTATTTAAAACATCACTGCGTCCATATTTGTAAAAATTGCAGTAAAAAACACTATTGTTATAGAAGCATCAAAAACATTATCTAGGCCAAACAGATCCTATGCATCACCTGGATGATTCCTGGAGCAGCAGGTAGGCTCTATGGTTTACATCAAATATGCATTGGTACTCATGAAAGCACACCCACAGTGTTGGCTCTAAGAACAAACTACTAACTAAATTGTCTTATTTATTTGGATGAGAAGCATCATGTCGACTTCATGTTTGACACAAATGGGACTCAACCTTCGCTACTTGCACGGCTAATTATAAAGCAAATAGTAGCTCATAGTGCTTTTCAGCCCTGATCTGGATGACCTATTGTATTACCATATTAATTTTGTTGCCAAAAATAGCCTTTTCAGGTAAACATACTGATGGTTTGGTGTCAAGGAACGTCTCTTAACATGAGATCAATAAAATTATTTTCTGTACCTCCAGATGTGAAAAGCAAAACATAAAAATACCCTCACTTTATGTTAAACTATTAAGCAAATAAAAAAATGTTGTAGACTTACCACTACCTCTTAAGTCTAAATTTTACAAAAAAAGTATTAATTTGATTGCCTGCTCAACTCAAAACCAAGTAATTTAATCTTGCTGCCCTATTTACATTTGCATTTGTAAAACAAAATGTATGATAGTCATAGTAAATCAAAATTTTCAGTTTTTCACAGGTTTTTTCATAGTACATTTACAGCTATGAGCAATGTATGACAACTGCTGAAACAGTACTGGGTTGTGGACTATCCAAGTAGACTCCATCTCTTCCAGTAAACCCACTCTAAATTTTGATGTCATATTATCTTGTCAATGCAGTCATGTCTCAGCAACTGCATCGAAACCTTTTGCTCAAATAGTCAGTAACACTAAACACCTCCATCACCATCTACTCTCTATGTATGGTGTTAGAAAGAAACTTTTTTGTAGCAACACATACATTGCTTAAAACGCTGTTAAACTACCACAAGTATTTCTCTTGGAAAAAAGAGTACTGGTTTACAGAGTAAGAGACCTCACTTTTCCAGAAGCATTATTAATGGGGACTATTTTAGTCTTCAGTGACAGGGAATGACAGGCTGTAGCATTTCTTCAAGTTAAGAATAGAAAATAACTGTACTTGCAAGAATTCAATTACTCTGCATTAAATCTGCCATGGGGTTACTGCACATTTATACATCAGAAAGTCAGTAAATTATTTTTCTATAAATTAGTCCCTCAAAGATGATTTTTTTTTCCTTTCTGTTCTGAATGCCAAACTCCTGACTGCTTCTCCACCACAGAGACTTCATATCTGGATAGCCGACATCTGTAAAAACATTTCTAATGAAAACACTACTAATACAACCCCCTGGAGAAACAAATGAAATGAGATCTAAGTATGCAGCCGCTTTTCTACAGCTCTGTCTTTAACAATAGTGAGACTAGTGCTTCCCATCCAAGCCTTGACACAGGTCATGATCATTTAGGCACAGTAGTAGCAAAATAAATAATTGTGTAAATATGTATTAACTGGCATAAATACTTCAGTAGCTCTTAGAAGATATGATAAAGGACTTCTGTTTTTAGTTGTGCATTAAGGTTTATCTTGGTGGATGGAGGGAGAAGCATTTAAACTGCAGTGAAGGAGAACTACAGATTGAACACTTGAAAGCTCAGTGCCAGATATAACAATGCTTCTTGTAAGCAACAGCAGTGTTGAAAGTGTATTAGTGTTAAAAGTGTCGGATCACTGCTAAGATATTATAGAAACAGTGGTTATAGCTTCACTCCAAAAGAACAATGTACTGTAAAGATCCACAGCGTAACTATATACTTAAATAATTCAGATTCAAAGTAAAACAATGCCATCTTATTTTCAAAATGATTTGTCTTTTTTTTCCATAACACATTCCACTGCTTTAATATACAAATCAGAATTTAGACACTATTTTCTGTTAAACAGCCTAACAATTATCAAGGGAAAAAGGTCTGTTTTGAGAGTTCTCAAAATCTCAGCTAATGCTCCATATCAAGATGTACAAACAGACTATATCCAGAGTTTCCTGCCTTACATTTAAACCTGTAATAAGTAATTTGAGGCAATTCTTTGGTAGCAAAGATTAGTAACAGCAAATCCCCAGCACTGGCAGAAAAATTAGCACATATCAACTCAGGAGGGGATCCTCTGTCTGAAGATTATCAGGAAAAAACAACAGTATTTCTAAATGTCCTCACTTTCAGGTGGACTAATGCTTTTCCTCTGAAAGATTGATTATATCCTGTATTCATCCAATCCAAAGTTTCTTTATTCCAAGTGAACTGCGAGTTCTGGGCCCAAATCCTAAGGCAGATGAAGGCTGGAAATGATTAGATGTGGAATTGACACATAACAGCCACCCCACTTCCCCACTCTCCCATTTGGGTTCACAGAAACATACTGGTAAGAGTACTTGTATTGAAATAATTCCATCAACTTCCCTAGTGAAATCTGGGCACAATAATATCAATAGAAGTTTGCCAGAATTCCAGGAGGGTCTATCTGCTGCTCCTCTTCCCGCCACATTTTCTCCAGTGTATGGAACCAGGACTGAACCTGTAAACACAGGTCTCATTTCCAGGAGTTTTTTTATGCTGGGTAAATTGAGTTCCTTATCTCATGCATCTGTTTCAAATGACATTTCTTTTGCAAAGAAGAGAGATTAAGATAAAAATCTTAAGATATTTTAAAATGGTATTTGGTCTCTCCACTGAATAACTATAACCTTTAAAATGGCTTTGAGATAATAAAAAAGCAAATGGAACCCAACATAAAAATTTTCTTTAAAGAAGAGTAATATTGAGCTCATATGATCCATATCTACTACAAATATGTATCTTATTTCTGGAGTACATCAGTTTAAAGCACATAGACAAATTGTGCTGGAAAAATTAAATTGAAATATCAAGCTTAGAATATCCTCACTCTAATACATTTCCACATTCTAACACAAACAATGAACACTAAGAGTAAGGACCTTACAACAAAATGAAAATGTTAAATAAATTTTATGCTAAGTAAGTTTTTTTAATAATCACAAAACTCATGCTTTACACATTGATCTTTCATATGGCTAAGTGGACCCAAACAGCTCAAATTATCAGATTTATAAATGATTTTCAAAAATAAGTATTCTATGATTTATTTTTACACAAAACTTTGATTTACTAGAGAGAAAACTCACCCAACTTCCTTTTTAAAACCAACAGCAACATGACTTTTTTTTTTTTTTTTACACGACACAGAGGTGAAATTAACTTTGATTACCAGCTTCATTATTTTATGGATTCAAGCACTAAAGACTGTCATATTATTGGAAATAGTAAATAAAATTTTTCGTTCAAATACATAGTTAAAAAATAAATACAAAGTCCTTAATATATACTTAAAAATCAAATTTTATTTAATAAAATAATACACCTGAAAAGTCATAGAACACCAGTCCAAAAAAAATGACCAGCTATGAAATTTAGTCAACACTGTCTTTGTAATATTTAAGTCTCAGGCACCCTCCAGTGTTTGGAAAAGAAACTACACAAGTGCACAAGTATTTGAAGAAAAACAGCACAAACAAGTTTTTCTGTCAAGATAGAAGCTTCCTGGGTCATTTACAGTAATTATATATAATCATGCATCAGTGATATGACACAGCCATGATGAAAAAAATATTGTAAAATTGTATTTCGTGGATCTCTATGGGATTTAAGGAGGTGATATTTTCTTTGCTAGTGGAGAGGGATCTCTTTAAGTACACTACTTGGAAAAATACAGTAAAGTGTGCAAAGTATTACAAAAGCATTTCTTACAAAGTCTGGTATTGATAAGTATTCAAGTATTCCTCAGTTAATATGATCTCCATGTTTTTTTACAGCTTGTTTTTAACTTTTCTAAAGAGTCTAAATTAATAGTTTATTTAAACAGGAGATACATCCATGGTAAAGAAGAGGAAAACCAATGCATTTAGAGGTAAAGCCAGATAAGATACACCCCTCCCCCCATTTTATAATTAATACAAAATTAATTTGTATATTTTGTATTAATTATAACTTTTATAATTAATACAAATTAATACAATTTATAATTAATACAAAACAGGAAGGTCAAATGTATTCAACCATGTCTATGAAACTTCACTGATTTTATGTAAAAAACCCAAACCAATAATTTTTTCATTGGTATCTTTGTTCACTTGAAAAGTTACAAATCCTAAGACAATTTTTGTACTTGACATTCAAATGGAAACACTTGTGAGTACAGGACAGACAAAAATGCCTACTGAAAGGACAGCGTTGTAAGCTAATGTCAGGTAGATCCCCACAAATATGACAGAAATAGAATGAAGGCCGGAAACCAAAACTTTTTCAATTGTGATTATGCGCAAACTAACATTAATCGTGGATTTCTGTTCTGCACCCTGTTCATACTTCCACAATCAAACAGTTTTATTTGCAATTTAAGTGGTAATGAGATAACATGCTTTGAAATACATGTTAAGTAACTTCAAAGTGGTTACATCTTGATTGAAAAAAACAGCTTTACTTAAACCAAGAGCTTTTTATGTTTGTGTTCAGGATTTGAAGCGTATAAATTCACTGAATTGTTGCTTCAATTAATTTTCATCATTAGGGATCAATGTAAGAATGCATATACACTTCTGAATACGGTCTTTACTCTCCTGGGTTCACCCTGGATTCACCCTTACTGGTCGATGTGCAAAAATCCCAGGGCAACCAAGGGATTTTGCCTGTACAATCAGGCTAGTTAATAACTGGTTCAGCTTCAGTTCCATAAGGTTTGATTCCCCCTCACACATACACACTCAAAATCTTGTCTCTTCTTTACTACAGAACTTAGCTGTGCTAACTACAGTTAGAGAATCCAAAATTGATTACCTTGTCATTTAGTAAAAAAAAGTTACATTTGGTCAATGCTGCAATTCAATTCAGAATTAAGAGCTTTGTTAGGAAAAGCAGCTGATGTCACTTTTCCCTAGTACAGCTGAAGAGATATTTTTAAAAATTGAAAGAAATAACGACAACATTGACCAAAAACCTCTTGGAATGAATATTAAAAATATTACAAATAAACCTAGTCAGGGTTATGCAAAAAGAGGTAGTAAACATTTCAGAAGAAAGTACACAAGATAAATATATTTACACACACACATATATATACATACATATGAGTAAAAAACATTATAAACCAGTCATTGCCACCGTAAAACTTACAACTGTGCTTAACTTGACATGTTGCAAATATTTACACTGACTTCAAAGAGAGCTGGCTACAGTGTGCAAAACAAAGCATGACATCACATATTTTGCAAAGTCGTGTAGGTTTAGAGAAATCGCTCTATTCAGATTTTGGCTCTTTTTAACAGCTTCTTGTCTGCTTTTAAATAGTGATGTTCCTTTTTGAAATAGCTTCTCTGATTTGACGATCAAGTTCACTTACAATATGATCTTCATGGTTATAGACTCCTGTTCTCAACAGGGTATCCCTCTCTTCTATCAGACGAGAGAGGTAATCATCCGTGTTCTCATTTAGTTTTCTACAATGAAGACCATCCACTCTACCAGCAGAATTATCTTTAGCATCTTGCAATTGCTTTCTCTCTTCTTCTTGTTGCTTTAGCCTGATGTTGATAAAATAGAAAGAATCAGACAATGAGACATTAAAATCCGCTCTGTTTATCTTCATATTAAGTCTTTAGTTTATCTACTGAACTACTTAGTAAAATAAAGAAATCTGTAAATGTAACAAATTTTTCTCTCTCTGGGGAAAAAACTCAAAGTAAAAGAAATTTCAATATAATACTTAAAGTCTAAGAAAACTTTTTCTATATCCATGTGTAACCGATACTTGTTATCAAACCTTCTACTTTATGCAAACTGTACTCAAATTAAAAGGGTTCAACAAACAAAACTAGTGCAAACAGTTTTTGGAGGACAACATCAGATAGATCTAGAATTTGAATGTATTCAAAATAAGAATAGTACATGTCTTGTTCTTTTCTTAACACAGCAGTTATACTTCGAACTGAAAGATTAAAGTAGAAAAAAGCCTGGTGCTGTAAAACTATGACCATAACATAAAAACCAGGTACAGTGGCCTTAAACATAGATTTTGCTATACTGCAGTACTGTTGCATTTTATAAATGTGTAATCTTTACCTAAGGGACACTAAACTGTGTTCTTTCACTGGACTGACAGCCAATTATAATCTTGATTTAATTGAACTTTCCCTAATTTTAGGCTGACAGCAAGAAAAAAGAAGGGAATGGGCTGATATGGAGGAATCTTACAAATACTTTCATACCTGTTAAGTTCATTTCTGATATCCTCCAGCTCCTGTCGGTCTGTTTTCCCCAGCTCTTTTTCTTCCGCTGCCAAATAGCGCAGCCTCATGTGCTCCAGCTCTTGCTGCTGCTTTTTAAGATGAGCCATTGCATTTTCTTGTTCACGCTTATATGGGAAGGGGTGAAGACATAACTCAGTTGAACATGTGATTCAATGTAAAAGTGCTAATTATAGTGACAGAGCAAAAGTTTAGGAATGAAGTTATGACAATTAAGTCTCGAGGAATATTAGAAATGTAGGAGTTAACAGAATGTCATATTGCATTACAGATATCACCAGATAAGTCCAGTGACTATCACAATCACAGTGAACCTGTCCTAGCTGGATCAGCTGAAGCACAGTCACAGACATCTTCCCATTAACAAAACAGCAAAAATATTAACAAGCCTTTTTACTAACTCTGGCTTAAGTTGGTAAACATAAAACTCGCACTTCTGGAACTGCTCAAGCTACTGAGATTTACTCCTTGGCTACATGGTATTTTAAATAATAAATATTTTTTAAAAAGTAAAAGCTAAATAGCTGCAGGAAACTTCCATCATCAGCCCCATAGTACCTAGTATCAAAGCTTCAAGAACTACTTTTTGAAATTGCAATGTGTGCTTAAAAAATAAGCTTTGGAAACAAAATTCTGGCAAGATGTCCTTTTATGTTTGCATAGCACTATGTGAAATTTTACATAACTTATTTTGTGGGTTTAATCCAACCAATCTATCCATTCTAAAAGTTTACTTGCCTCTATTTTTTAAGCTTTTCACACACACTGTAACAAAAGTAAGGTTTGAGCCCACTGCCACCTCATGACAATAGTGTCTTAATGAGAAATATGGTGCTCTCTCCACTTGTTTTCCTCCCAGCTACTTTCCACATGACCTTGTGCACTAAGTCAATACAGTCAGTCTCACATTCTGAATAAGACAAAAGACCTGAGGTAGTTAAGAAGTATTACAGCAGGTTATAAAAACATCCTGGATCTAAGCATATGGTGAAGTGCAAGTCTACTTCCATAATTCTGACATTGCCTTCATAAGAAATATTTGATTGTTAATAAAATCAGTCTTATATTTCCTATGGGGATAAAAAAAAGATAATTTTTTGGTTGATAGGTATGAGCATATTCTTTATATAGTCAACCTATTTGGAAGACTTTAGCAGGGCAATTTCCTGAATCTCAGTTGCCAGCAGTTTAAGTACTCCCTGTTGATGATCAATAATAATCAACAGGATAATCTGAATTTCACAAGGAATTGGTATAAACAAAGACTCTAATTGTTAATGTGAACAGACAATGCAATTGAGAAGTACTTGACCAGAAGTCATAGCATGTATGTAAACACAAAATATTTTTATACTAAGTTCAATACATTATCCAGCCAAATTAAATGTTAGAACTACAGTGAGACAGATCATAAAGCTTGAAGAACAATTTGTTAAAGGGTTACATACTACTAATAAAACCAGAAGCAGGAATGCTCCCAAAGAGTCTACAGCGAACCGATGATTGAAGCTTAAAAATATTTGGTGAAGATAAAGCCATAGTCTTTCCTTTTACATCAAGAATTCATTACAGAAGAACATTGCCATGTGAGAGAAACCCTTTTTAATGTCAGACAGGTTTGAATAATAGTCTCAGACTGAAGTAGAATAGGTTTTAGAACAGGAATCTACAAACACATATAGCAAATATTAAAAATTCACTATAGACAGCTGATATTTATCCAAGAATTTTCAAGAATATAATGAAATTCAAAGAAAAAGTTGCAAGACTAACTGGAGGTTAGTCTTAATCCATCACCAAAACTGGTATTGACATCACAGCAATAACTATTTCCCCATTTTTCATTTTATTCTTTCTTTAAACAGAGTCTTTAGGAATACCCAGGAACTACCATCAGACCTTACTTCCACTCAAACCATAACTAAAACCCAAACAAACAAGATGTATGGGTTTACCAGAAAGAACAAATCCAGCTTCTGTAGAAAAGTCCCTCTTGCAACTAATCTTAAAAAAACGAACCAAACACCACATCAAATAAACCACCTTCACCAAATCACAAAACTAAAGCTGCCATGGAGAAAGAACTCTCAGGTTACTCAGGGTTTAGAACACCAGAGAAAGGATAGCAACTGATCATTTCCACAAGAGCAAGAAGGTAACAGCGGACTACACAAGAAACTACTCTTCAATATACTTGTAAATGAGAAAATCACTCTGGAACAGTTTACGGCTGATACAAAGTTATTCAGTGGGGAAAAACTGGATGTGGAAGAGTGCGATATTATCAGTTGGTTTGAAAAGGAAGCAGATAAGTCAAGAATACATTCACTTATGTCTGTTAAACATGATAGCCTGAATGCAACTGGTGGCGCATGATGTACTTCAGTAACTGACCGAGGGCAGCTGAAGGGCATTCAAAGATATCCAAGGTGGGCTTCTAGATCTTGTCCATCTACTGCTGACCTCCATATGGACCAAACTGATAGTTTTTTCCACCCAACAAAAAGCACTGGCTGAAACTCAAAACTAGGTATATTCCAATTAGACACATAATTTAAGTTATTGAGTGCAAATTAATCACTTATGCAATATACTTAAACATGTTAGGAGCTTCTTGATCACAGAATGTTCTGATTTTAGACATTAACGTTTCAAAAAAATGCTACAGAAATGCTGTTCAAGAATTAAGAAAGAAGAGATAGAGAGTGTTTGTTTTTGTTTGGGTTTGGTTTTTTTTGTTTGTTTTTTTTTTTTTTTTCCTGAAGTCACAGCAAATATCACAATGGTATTCTCTGGTCTCCAAATACAGATAAGGCAACAGCATCCAGACAGTAAACCCAGACTTCAAGTATAAAACAGGCTATGAGGAAGAATGAAATAAACTGGCTACAAGGAGGAATGGAATTATTTTAACTATTTTGATAGTTGGACTTACTTTGAGTTGTTTATTTTGCTAAATGCAGGTAGGAAGATAAAATGCTGAGCATGATCTAGCCTCAAACAGGTTGGTATAAAACCAGTACAACTTCAGTTACAGAATAAGTAAATAGATTGACAGCAAATCTGATTATCTCAATTATCCAGAATCTAGAAGTATGAGGACAGGCTAATATTTACTTCTTTTTGAGACCATCAATCCCAATACTTGGTGTCCCCAGTTTGATCTACTAAGCTAAATCCTTTTCAAAATTAAGCAAATTAAAATACTGCTGTTTCAGAAAAAAAACCCCTTAATGCAAACATGAGACCTAAAATCTTGAGCATGTTAAACCTCCTTTGTAAAATTCTATTTAATCTCAGGGGAGGAGTGGTTGCCCTGTACATACAGAACAAATCTGGAAATTTCTACTTATCAGTCCTTACAGGATGAGCTACTTCTGCTGATTATACACCAAGTCTAAAGAAACTTAACACACATATCCCTGTAGTAGATGCAGTACACCCTGCATATCCAAGTGCTGGTTTTGAAATTAATTTGTCTAGTACATCCTAGTTTTCCTGTTGATATTATCTAACAGTGGGAAGAGTCTTAGAGGCCACTCAATAAGTTATATAAGAATGCTATTTACAAGCAAACTGCCTCATCTGTACAAAATCCATCTTGTTACTGTGGAAGATGAGGCTGACATCTTCCTCTTAGGTGATGTCCAGAACCTAACTTTGATGCATCAGAGGACTTCTAATTGTCATTATCTCTTTTTCTAGCCTTTTAATCTATGCTGATTTGTAATATGATTATCTTCAGTCCAATATATTTTTGCAGACGGTGAGAAAACGATTAACTTTAGAAAACTCCTTATTCTGCATTTCAGTTCATTCATGCCCTCATTGTCCCATCTCAAACTAGGGCTACTGCCACGGGAAGCTGGGGTATTAATCTAAGTCTGTCAAATTTGTGCATCTCAATAATTGTATATGAGAATTTTTTTGAGGGTATGTTAGGCAAAAATCACTTGAAAACTAAATACCGTGAAACTAAGGCAAAACAGACTAGCACTTGCTACTAGGACAGCAGTACTTTCATGTATACACAAATCCTCACATAGCTGTGACTACACTGAGTAGAAGCCTTCTAATCCAGCACTTCAGTTTGTGGAGTATATTATTCAGATCTAAAAGCAAAGATTTTGAAAGTATCCTCACAGCTGCACTTGAGAGGAAAGGCATAACTGCACACTGGCCATAAGAAGCATGCGGGATTAAAAGTTCCGTGACAAGCTGCTATGTTACTATTTGAGGCAGGAAAGTTCAACAATCCATAAGTTTCTGCTGTTCAGCAACATGCTCACAATGACAATCTGAGAGCAAAAAAGGCATTTTAAACAAGCTCAGAGGAGAAATATATGTCAGAAGAAGTACATACACTTAAGGTTAATAGAACAATGTCTTAAGCTCAATCAGAACAGAAAGAAGACAAGATAATGCTTCCATATTGATTGAAAGGGATCTCATTCAATAATTTGGACCTTTATGCCCTCACTCTTTGAGTTCATTTCAGAACCATAATTTTTTTTTATTAATGTCTTAAATCATATTTAATTAAATCAAGAAAAGGACAAAAGAGAATGATGCAGAAGCCAAAGAGATGAAGGAAAAGCAAGTCTCTTCTGCAGAACGCTTTGTTCAGTTCTGTTCCTTTTGATATTTTTCTCTGGGAAAAAGGTCTATTATGAAAATCCAACAAACAAAAAACCAACCAAAACCAGTGAGACTAGTGAGCATGCTCTTTGCTCAGGATAATATTCTTAAATTTGTAAAAGAAAGTAAGATTTAATGTAGCATGTGCTAAATTCTACTTTTCTCCATAGAGGAGAAAAATACTTATCAGTATATTTTGTCTCCAAGCTAATTTTGGGTAGGAATTCCTTTCAGACAAATGTGATTTGAAATTTAATTTGATTACTAATACAATTGTGATGTAAACATGACAAATATTTGGGGTATTGAGGGAAAAGTCAAGATTAATTCTAGTCAGTGAAAGTCAAGAATTTCAGAGGCATGCCATGCTGTGACCCTGAACAGTGACATTTAAGCATAGTAATATTAAATTAAAAAATAAAAATCAACATTTTCTGAAGCAAGATTTCCCTACCTTTCAGTTTGAGACAGCTTGACTTGGAAAAAAAGACACTAAAACAAGTGAGAAAGGATTTTGCAGATTCATTTATGATGGATCCTGTGCGTAATTTACATTACACACTTCATACTTTCTGATTTTCAAATGTCTATCCCAACATTAGTCTTTGACTCCTTTAAAAAGTCTGTCATAACAATTTGTAGAGTGCATAACAGAAAACTTGCTCTATGTCTACCATTCACAACAGAGCAAAAGAAACACATTTCCTAATAATACATCAATACAAGAAGATGGCAAAGAATTTAAAACAGTTGTTTGATAAGAAGGGAACCATGCTGATTTTGAATTCATTTATATAGAACTTTGCTATGATATCTTGAGGGACCATAAAAAGACTGCTTTTAGTTACAATGAGAGAAAAGGAAGGATTTTTTATTCATCTCAGTGATGAAACTGGTGTCACTTCAGAGACATTCAGGTATTAAATCCACTTTTTTCCATGACAACGTAACAATCCACTGAGCAACAAGCACTTTTTTTAAACCCGAGAACAAGCAGAACTCTACTGCATAGTAGCATTTGAAATGTAGCAGAATTTATTGTGAGATCTTCCAAAGTGAATAAACAATGTTCACAAAACATTTCTGCACATTTATAGTACAAATAAAGCTAAGTCCAGCATTTCTAAACCCCTTTGGAACATCTTCATTTTATTCTGTGTATACTGAAAACTAAGTTATAATTGAATACGAAGTATTTTTTAAGTATACCTCAGTGCACACAAGTTTATACATGCTTAAAATTCGTAGTCAAGACTTTCTGACAAACTTTCCTCCTATAATATATCCCATCATAAGGAACACTTCAGACTTATTCCCAACTGCTTATTCTAGGCAGTCAGGCTGTTTTAAAACTCAGTAAGAGGTATTAGAATTTTTGATTTTAAACATTTAGAATTTCTTGTTTTTACATTTCACCTAAGGGAACACTCCGGAATCATCAGCTGCTGGACTAAAGGCAACTTTGTGAATAGAAGATAAACTCAGCAGGAACTCAGAACACTTGGAAATACTTTACACTTGCATCGCCACCTAATAATCATCAGCCACTATCCCACAGTAAGGCAGCCACAGATGAACCGAAAGTATCATGTGCACATTACTCTGAAAATTATCTTTGCAGAACGTATTAGTTGGCCCAGCTACTTTCCTCTCCAACACTCTCAGCACTGCTAATCTCTCTATTCTTTTTGCTCTTTTCTTTACCGCCCCTGCCTCCTTCAGTAAAAATTATCACCAATATTCCTTTCGCTTATTAATTTTATGTTTGCTGTCCTCCTTATACATCTCCACAAACAAAACAAATCCAAAACAAAGCCGCATGTGAGTTATCAAATAACTTACTTGAAGGTTTTACTACTTTTCTTCATTAGTTTTCATCTCTAATGTAGTGCTTGAGATACGGAATACTGTTTTAGAAGCTTGCATGGTGGAAACCTTCATCATGTTTTGAAACTTACGATACTACAGACATATCAGCATTAAATAAAAAATAATCAACAATAAAAAACCCTCAAAATTTCAATTATAATCAGATCATAAAAGAATCCCTGTATGCCACCAGGTGCTTTCGTTAAGAGGCTCTTCAATCAAGGAAGCACAATCTTTATTTTGCCATAGCTGCCTATAAATCCAAAAGGGAGATGTAAACATACATACACTAGACTAAACAATGGCTAAATAGCAGCCACTATTCACTCTCCCACTCATACATACCATGCAAGTCTGTGGGAAAAACTTACGATTGAAGCTAAAGAACTCAAGTAAAGTTTTCTGAAAATAACCCAGAGCTGACAAGTCAGTAGGAGGGCCTGGATGGTTTCAAGACACAGTTTTTAACCAAGATTTGGATTTCCAAATGGTGTGTTGTGTTTTTTTTTTCTTTTCTTCTCTTTTTTTTTTATGTGAATTATTTTTTTTAAACAAAGATTTACATCCTGTCCTTGGCTAAATTACTTACAAATTAATCAAATTAATTACTGAATGCATAAGTAAGATACCAGACAAGACAGAGTGAATTGTCAGGCAGCCAATATGTTCTGTGCTGTACTAAACAAATGCATCAGTGCTGATTCTAACAGCTCTGTAGGGCACAAACACATTAGAAGACTTACAAAAATATTTCTCATGGAACACTGAATGCATGTACATTTCGAGATTTTGGCTATTTAGATTAAATATGACTGAGATTATCAACCGCTAAAAGTGATATTTCTGCCAGTTTTTATTTTTGTTTTGATACAATTTTTCTTACACTCAGACAAGTACTGACTTTAGCATCCAAGATCTCTATAAACATGTATGCAATTTTCTGTATATAGTTTGATTCCTCTCAGAAATAATGCTAACATCCATTAAAAAAACATGGAAGTCTTATTTGTGTAGTATTGAGATTGCCCAGTAGGCAAGCCTCAAAGGACAGTTTTTGAAACCTCCAGAAACAATCTACCTGGGTGTACAGATGTGTAACTGATTGTTGACATTTTTGTCTCCCTAAAGTTGAACAGGGTATAAGAAATGAAGACTTGCCCTAAATAACAAAGAGGGAAGAAAAGTAAACTGGGTGAAGTCTATTGTCACTCAGCATTACAAACTGTGTTAAAATTCAACTGACTTCTGTATTTTTTTTAGCACAGGTAAGTAGAATATATATATATCTGCCTTCACGTACTTCAATAACACTGGCACTGTGTTTATCATTCAAAATCCTACAAATGGAGAAGTTTAGATCATATTCTATTAACAGTCCCATATTTTTTAAGTTATGTGCTGCATATCTCACATTCTGTAAAATATAAAACTATCCCAGATGTGTGCTAAGAACTAGTTCCAAAGTAAAAGAAAACTTTTTAATTAAGGAAACATTGACTTTTATGGTTGCAAATCAGAAGAGCATTTTACTAAATGCTTAGCCTGTAGATTATGCTTCTTTAATTCACAAATTGACTGCACCAGGTCACCTTTGAGTAATGGAAATCTCTGTTTAAACATTTTTTTGGCAATGGGCACAAAGCATTAGATCTCATTTCCAAGACTTACCAGCTGGGTTTTGTCATTAACATTTATTAACAATCTAAGATATGGCTTTCAGCGTCTAATCCTCACTACACAAATGTTTTGTATAGTTCTCTAGAGAGCTTTGGTGTGACAAATTACTGGCACAGATTACAACCCTGTGGCTATTCACCAGAGGCAATGCAAAATTAACATGGTACTAATCCAATTTAAACAAGAAATTGGTCAAATTATGCACAATTGCAAAATTCATTGGAACTAAAGCAAATCTAGAATTCCTTAAGCAAGAGTTTCCAAATTTATATTTAAAACATGGTAAATGGTTTTTGATCAGATGTGCTTCAACTTTTATTTGGCTCTTTAAAGTCACTTAAATTCTTTATCAATAGACCAAGCATAAGATGAAGCACAGGAGTATAGAAACCACAAGAAACTACCTTGAAAGGGTTTGTTCTGTTGCAGAAAAGTTTTAGGTAGCATAATTCACTGTACCTGCCAACTTATGTTATGGTTCAGACTTTCAGCAAGAGAGTCAGTTGAAACCATCAACATATGCTAATAAATTCAGATCATCAGGCCTATGGTGATGAAATTTGTTATAAGAACCTGATAGGGATACACACTGGTGTTAATGTGGCAAGCAACAATCTTCTCTTCTATTCTACAGGAATTTTAAAACATGATAAGAAAAAAATAGCCTGGACATTTCATGACTGCTGAAGAAATCTTAATCAGAGACATAAGACTTATATTCTTCCTCCTATCATCTTCTCAAATCATAAATGTTTCAGAAATCAGAGATAAAAATTTGTAACTCCTTTTATCACTGGGCAAAAAGGGAGCAATTTGAAGATGGCAAATAAAGATGAGTTTTTACTTAATACCAGTGATTACAGTCTATATTTGCTCTCTTCAAAGAGAAATACAAATTAAATACAAGAAATAATAAATTAGGAGAGCATGGGATTGACCTCTTAGTCTCCAAAACCTGAATATTCTACCAGTAGGAATGAAGTAGGTACTATAATCCTTAAAAAACTCAACACTGATCCTCATCACCCAGAATTAGGTGTGAATACAGGTAATAAAAACTTTTTACAAAACTTGAATTCTGAAGCTTTATGTCCATGCCAAGGTTTGTTCAGCAACTGAGATTAATTATTTTCTAATTTGTTTGTCAAGGCCAATGGAAATTCTTGGCATTCTTTAGTATATTGTTTAATTCAAGAAAGACAGTTGATGACAAAAAACAACATGGAGATACAATATGGATTCAGCAAGGATGAAGCTGTTACTAATGCAAGTTTGAATGAAGTGACTTCAAGTCTTTTGTGTGTGATTATATAGACACACAGACACACACGAACTCTGTTAAAACATAGCAGTAAAATAGTATGCTATGTTAGTATGAGATTAGGAATTCCAAATACTGAAGAAAATTTCACTCCCAACTTAAATTTCCTCTAAATTTACTTCATTTTACAGTATTCATCAAATCTTAAACCCTTGTTTCTAAAAGTGAAGATTTCTTTCTTGTCTTTACGCTTCATTCATTATACAATTAAAATATAGAACAGTTAGGACTGTAATTGACCAAGTTGGTTGGGATAGTAGCAAAATATCTTCTCTGGAGCTGCTGATTCAGTATTATTTGGAACTAAATTAAACTTTTTTTTTTTTTTTTTTTTACACACCTGCTTTTAACTATGTCAACTTTCTTTGCAGGTGTGAGCCTTGGTCTTTCCTGAGTTGTTCAATGTCAAACATAAACCACTTTTGCTGTTCATGCATGGCTCAGAGCTTTACTTTGCGAAGGCAAACACTAATAAAACGAAAACTGCCAGCAGTTAGCAGTAATCCTAGTAGCTTCCAACATCACATTAACTTGGTTGTCTCATATGACCAAAGAAAATCTGCATACCTGTTTTAACCTTGCAAGTTCTTTCAAAGCCCTTGTCCATTGCTGTTTGTAGTGGAGCTTTGACTTGGTAGCTGACTCTAACTTTCTTTCAAGTTCAACCTGAAAGCAATTAAAATCATATCAGCTGAAGCAATAACAGCAGTAACAATCACTGAAAGATGTATATATACAAAGGGTCTGGTTTAAGAAAAGTGTTTATGTAGTGTAATATACAACATCATCTAAAGCTGTTATACAATATAACATAAATATTATGGCACACGAACATTTTCTTGTTTAAAATATAACCTTATTTTTATTGGATGGCCGTCTATACAAAAAAAAGAAAGATTACTTTTAGCACTAAATCTGCTGATGTAACCTTTAAATTTAAGATTCTCAAATTAGCCATCCCCTCATCCCTTTTTTATTCGAAGTAAGATTATAAACATTAATTTAACAGAATAAATCTCACCCTTAAAAGGTGTGTGGATTTTTTCTTTACTGCTGATGGAAGATAGGTCCTACATTTTTTCTCTGAATTACACATCTGTTCAAACCATTCTTTAAAATCTATGTATCTAGTGTGAACCTTTGATCTTACTACCTAAATCTTTAAAAAGTGTTGCACACAAAAAAAATTAATTGCATTCTATTCTGTGTGCAAAAAAAATTTAGTATTAAAAGGCAAATGAAAAAAGTTATGAAGCACACAGAACATAACGTGAAAAAATGAAAGATTTTTAATTAACATCCCAAAAAGTGACATAGGCCCGACAATCCTTTAATTTGACAAAAATTATTTCCATTTAATTTGTGAAGATCTTAAAGCACAGATTTTTTTTAACTCAGCTAACAAAAACAGGAAACTTAAAAATATTTAAAAGTAAGAGTTTAAACTGTCTGTAGAGACAAAATATATTTTGAATAATTTGCTTGCATTATTAGAAGTTATTCAAGAATACAGCAACATGCAGACTGGCCATATAACTCAGTGCAATTTGCGACAAGAAGCCTAGCCTAATTTTTTCTCATCTTATTTGGTCAACAATTTGAGTCAAACCGCACAAAAACTCTGAGCGTAAATGCCCATATCTGTGGTTTTAATCAAACTATCCTCTACTGAAGGCAAGTATGGTTTTTAAGAAATCAACTTATGATGGTGATTCCATTTCACTGATAAGTAACACAATCTCTTTCCAGAAACACTTAATTACAAAAATGCACATAATGGAATACCAGTCTAAATTAATCTTCAGAAGAAAATGCTCATTTTTCCTTATTCTTTTATAAACAGAATGTTCAGAGTCCCCAGCATAAATCATTATTTAAATGTAAAGGTTAGGCTTTTTTCCCTGTCTTAGCCTCTAACATTACTGCTTCCTCTACAGAAATAAATGCCCACTGTTGGCCTTACTTGTACCTGAATATTTAAAATCCAAAGAAATAACTGAAAAAAGTAAAACAAAACGGACAAATTAACCAGTTTATCACACAGTATTATTCTGCATCCCCCTTATCACTGAACGGACCATTCCGACAGTTTTTAAGTACTAGAAAATTCCAACATACCTTTTCTAAAGTGAGAAGATTTATTTCCGATTGTAGCTGGATTTCTGGTTTGCTACTTTGCTGTTCTTTGTATTGCTGAAACTCCTTCTCCAAAATTTTATGCTTATTTTCTGCTTCATAAAGCTACATTAAAGATAACAACATGCAAGTTAGCAGAAAACCCTATTCACAGACAAATAATTGGATGACAGAACTTAAGTTACTTCTTAGTCCCTGGAACAAACATCTCTACTGTCAATTATCTGATATAAAACAGACACTGAATGCTACACATTCATAATTAATGATTTCTTGATGATGGCACACAGCAATGTTTTAATAGGAAGAATTTTAAAGAGGATCTTTACTCAGTACTGGAAAAAAAACCCAAACAAGTCTGTCCTCATATACAGAAGATTGAGATTTATACACATTTTCGTTCACATTTCTAAAACAACTTGCAGAAGAAATACAGAAAGCAAAACTACTAAGATTTACACACATTTAAAAAAAAAAAGTCAGTGTTATCTACTATATGAAGTTTTATTACTTACGCAGTTTTACCATCATAACTTTTTTAGGAGTGTCTGCAAAAAGAAACAACTAATACTTTGTACAATCAAATGATTTAGAAGAAAGGCTGAAGTAGAAATGCTTCAGTGACTAAAGACTTTATACTGAGTACCTCTACCCTCACAGTGTACTTCCACAGTTTCAAGAAGATTTTTATAAAGAGAGCGCGTTGCTTTTCAACTTACAATAGGTAATTTGAAAAATGATGCCAACACAGTTACTTGCCACATAGAAAGTAAGCAAGTGAAATATTTAACAGCATTTTTTACTATACCATACTAAAAATATTAAGAATTTTTTGTAATCTGTTTTTTAAGTGTAGCTTACGTTGTTCTTCTTTTAATTATTATTCAACTATAAATACCTTATGCACCTTACAGAACTGATGTATTCCATCACAGAATAACATCCCACATGCTGTTCTTGTATTATGTCCAACTAGATAATATAAGTGTTTCCATGAATTGCATCCAGCAGTTTAGAATACTAGGTGAAAATGCTTTAGAGAATTCATTTCTGTTTCAAAGCCTACAACTTGTTCTAGAAGTATATCAATATTTTAATTCTTTGGATCTCCTAACTGGGTCATATCTCTTTTTCTTCCAAAATTCTGTTTTTTCCATTTATTATTGTTACTGAATGGACAAAAGAAAGGAAAGATGCTTCATGGGGAGCTACACAAAAACACTGCAGGTTTTTTTTCACATGTAACCGCAACAGCCAACTGAACCAAGCTGTACCAAAAGGTACTGCTGTTTATTACCTTTCCATTTTTACCTATTTCTTTTTAAAGCAGACATACAGATTTGATGGTGATGACAAAGACAGCAACTAATTTCTTTTGCTATGAAAAATGCCAGGTCTCCCTAGAATTTCTACAAAAATGTTTAATTTCTTGTTTGGTTCTGGAAACACTTTCAAAAATAGAATTTCCTGTGAGACGTCAGGTTGTGGACTGTTAGGAAACCACACAAATCATACAAATGAAGCATGACTTCTTTATTCAGGAAGTAAGAGTGATGTACTTCAAGGTGGATACTTCAAAGATCTTCTCTTGCACATACAGGGGCTTACTTCCAAACAAGTTCAATTGTAGAGTTCTCTAAATGTCTAAGTGTGAAAATAGTATATCAACAAATACTTTTAAAAGGTATGAAATTAGTTAAAGTACATTGTTTAGAATGATAAAATAAAATTCATTTCAGAACATTTCTTGCTAAAAAGCAAACAATCAACACAGCCCCCCCCACACACATAAAAAAAAAACAAAACACACCACCCAAAAAGGTTTAAAAAAGAGACCTGTTTGGTAACAACAGCAACTTCCTGCACATCACAAAGAGAGGGATCCTAGACTGAAACTCCAAAGCAAGTAAACAAAACCCCATCCTCAACAGAGCAAAAGAAAAAGCCTGTCATATGCAGAACATGTGGTAACAACCACCACATATTGAAGCATAGCAGGAACAGCACAGAGAAAGACAGCCAGCATCATACAGAAAGAATGGCCTTCATACAGAACAGGACAAAACATAGTGGGGCTTGTGTTTGGAAGAGAGACAGTATGACAGCCACCTATACAATCAGGAATAGTATGTCACACAGACACTACAGGATTCTTCATAATTATTAAGTAATGAGCTTAAAATGAACATAAAAATGAACAAAAAATGTGAACACATAATGAAATTTTAGAACTCACTGCAACAGGATGTTGCAATACTAAATACTTTTTAGAAAGAATAAGATGAGTTCATGAAGAATATTTTCATTGATGGCTAGTTAATATGAAATGCTGACTCTGGCTGAGAGTTCATATAACCCTTGATGGCACTGCTGGATATACCAAAATTGCATTCTCACTGTCCAATTTCTTGCCCTCTAGAGCCAACCATTGTGGCAATATAATGTTGAGCTAAATGATCTTTTGTCTAATGACTGTATGTCTGTTCCAAATAGGAAAAATAAAGTGATTGTGATTTTTTTTAAAAAAAGAGCCTGTAGAAGCTAAAAAAGAGTCAGTGGGAGCCAAAAGAATGAAATTTGAATGAAGAATACTAGCTGATGGCATTTGGTTGCTTGAGCATGAAGAACTATTGGCTGTCTTGTCTGGACTGGTAGCTGCCAACACCACATATACAATGCAGAAGTGATTCACTTATCACTTTGAAGAGGACTGCAGTCTGCAGTTTGAAACTGCTCATCTCAATTTAATGACTTCAAGTAGAATAGTTAGATTAGCATCTTCTAGGTTAGCAGCATTTTTGTACTAGCTGTATTTTTATAAAGTTCACTGTACTATGGTTTACATATGCTGACAAAAAAAGAAGTTATTATCAATGTTTAATATGAACCTAAAAACCCACAAGAATCTAGCACAACTCTTCTTAATAAAAAAACATACCTTTTTCTGACACAGTCTTCAAACAGTGAAAGCTAATATGGCATTATCACTGTCACAAATCAGATATGAAAAACACCAAAGCATGTAATTAATCCCCATAAACTAAGTACTCTAAAAAACACTTAGGCATTAGATTTAGTCTACTTAACAACAAATTAAGTGTCTAATAATGTAGCAGCTGAAAAAAAAAGTACTAACTTTTACAATATACTTTAACAATCAAGAAAAATAGCCAGACTAGCTTTGTTGTCAGAGCAGAAATCAGCTTATAGGACAAGAGAATGCAGTCTAAATGTTCTCAGTTTATAAAGTACTGCTCTTAGAATAGAAGACTGCAATAATAAGATAATTCTCTCCTCCATCCCAGTAGTAGTATGGCCAGTCTTCGCGAGCGAAGATTTGGGAAAGGTCTTTACCCTTCGAGCCTGCGCAGTGGATTTTTTAGGTGAG